AAGGCAGATTCACCACCTCAAGAGATGATTCAAATAACGCGCTGTAGCTGCAAATGAGCAGCCTGAAAACCGAGGTCACAGCCCTGTGCTACTGTGTGAGACACAGGGGAGGTCAGTGTGAGCCCGGACGCAAACCTCCTGCAGGGGCGCGCGGGGCCACCAGGGGGCGCGCAGGCACCTCTGACGACAGGTCCAGGAGCAGGTGCAGGGGGAGGTTCTCTTCTTTTACATACACGTGCTTTAAGTTCTAGGGTACATGTGCAGAGCGTGTAGGTTTGCTACACAGGTATACGCAAGCCATGGTGGTTTGCTGCATCCATCACCCCGTCATCTACATTAGGTATTTTTCCCAATGCTATCCCTTCCCTAACCCCCTACTCCCCAACAGGTCCCTGTGTGTGATGTTCCCCTCCCTGTGTTCACGTGTTCTCATTGTTTAACACCCACTTATGAGTAATAATATGAAGTGTTTGCTTCTCTGTGGTTGTGTCAATTTGATGAGAGTGATGGTTTCCCGTTTCATCCATGTCCCTGCAAAGAGCATGAACTCTTCTTTTTTATGTCTGCATAGTATTCCATGGTGCATATGTGCCATATTTTCTTTATCCATTCTATCTTTGATGGGCATGTGGGCTGATTCCAAGTCTTTGCTATTGCAAACTGTGCCGCAGTGAACATATGTGTGCATGTGTCTTTATAATAGAATGATTTCTAATCCTTTGGGTATATACCCAGTAATAGGATTGCTGGGTCAATGGTATTTCTATTTGTATAACCTTGAGGAAATACCACAGTGTCTCCCCAATGGTTGAATTAATTTACACTCCCGCCAACAGTGTAAAAACGTTCCTATTTCTCCACATCATCTCCAGCATCTGTTGTCTCCTGATTTTTTTACTGATCGCCATTCTAACTGGCATGAGGTGGTACCTCAATGTGATTTTGATTTGCATTTCTCTAATGATCAGTGATGATGAGATTTTTTTCATGTGTTTGTTGGCTGCAGAAACGTGTGCCTTTGAAAAGTGCCTGTTCATATACTTTGCCCACTTTTTGATGACATTGTTTTTTTTGTTGTTGTTGTAAATTTGTTTAAGTTCTCTGTAGAGTCTAAATATTAGCACTTTGATGAGTAGATTGCAAAAATTGCTTCCCATTCTGTTGGTTGCTGGTTCACTCAACTGATGGTTTCTTTTGCTGCGTAGAAGCTATTAAATTTAATTAGATACCACTTGTATATTCTGACTTATGTTGCCATTGCTTTGGTGTTTTAGTCATGAAGTCCTTGCCCATGCCAATGTCCTGGATGCTATTGCCTAGGTTTTCTTCTAGAGTTTTTATGGTGTTAGAACTCATGTTGAAATCTTTAATCCATCTAGATTCATCCCTTAGAAATATCCATGATTCATTGGCTCAGTTGTTTCACATTATCCAATACTTCACCATAATTTTGTTCATTTTTTTATTTTTATGTGACTGAATTAATTGGAAATATCTGTCTCTTACATTTTACATTCTTTCTTCTTTTTAGTATAGTCCATTGGTAAAGCTTTAAACTGTAATTAATTCAATGAAGTCTTCATTACCTGAAGATCATTTTAAAAAAAATCAAAGTCTTACATAAATCTTGAGCTTTTCTGATTTGCTTGTGTTGGTTCTCAATCTTCTTTTGACTTCTTTTGAAGGGTTGAAAAGCCAGTATCATTTTCACATGCTGTGACTGGTGGTGGTGACTCTGTATTAGGTCGTGCAGTTTCAGCATCAGGCCCGCAGGTGGTGCTGGCAGGTAGGAGCCGCCTGCGGTGGCAGCGGAAGGGTTTATGCTCTGCTTGTGGTTAAAGAGGGAAATACGTCATGTTCTGGATCTCAGAGAAAAGACTTTCCGTTATTCTCATTCAATATGGTACTCCCTGAAAGTCTTTCTGATGTAACTTGTATTACGTTAAGATGTGTTCTTTCTATACCCATTTTTTAAAGATTCTTTCATGAAAGGATGTTGAGTTTCATCAAATGCTTTTTCAGCATCAATTGAAAAATATTATATGTGGAGTAAAGATCTAAATGTAAAACCTAAAACTGTAAAACCTTTGAATAATAATCTAGGAAATACAATTTGGGACACAAGAACTGGCAAAGACTATGACGAAAATGCTAGAAGCAATTTAACCAAAATCAAAATTAACAAATGAATGTAAACAAACTGAAGAGCTTCTGCATAGCAAAAGATACCATCAACAGAGTAAAGAGACAACCTATAGAATGGAAAATAAAACATTTGAAACCTATACACCTGCAAAGGTCTAATATTCAAAACATAGATGGAACTTAAATATACAAGAAAAAAAAATGGCCAAGGGACATAAAAAAGACACTTTAAAAAGAGACCTACATGTGACCAATAAGAAGTAAAATGCTGAATATCACTATCATTAGAGAAATACACATAAAAACTACAGTGAGGTACCATCTCACATCAGTCAGAATGGCTAATCTTAAAAAATAAAATAACAGATGCTGCTAAGGTTGCAGGAAGAAAGAAAACATTTTACACTTCCAGTGAGAATATAAATTAGTTCAACCACTGTGGAAAGCAGTGTGGTGGTCCCTCAAATAACCTAAAACAGAAGATTAATTTGACCCCAAAATTCCACAACTAGGCACATACCTAAAGGAATATAAACATGTAGGTTCCTTGCAGCACTATTCACAATGGCATAGACATGGAATGTGCCTAACTGCTCATCACTGGCAGAATAGATAGGGGGAAATGTGGTGCATATAACCGTGGACTACTATGCAGCTAAGAAAGAATTAAATTATGTCCCCTGAAAAAAACATGATGAAACTGGAGTTCATTACTCTTAGCACACTAATGCAGGAACAGAAAAAAAAGCAAACTATATGTTCTCACTTATTTGTGGAAGATAAGTAATGGGATATATTCTCTCAGTCCCTGAGTCTTCCTTATTCAAAAAATCATTCTAACTTAACTCTTCAACAAGTTGCCAATATGCCTTTAAATATCCTATTTTATATGGACCACTTATATCACTGAATAAAGCAATGAAAACTGTATTTTAAAGTGGGATTATAGGATAATAAATATCTTCATGGTAAGAATATGAAAGAAACGGATGGTTTTATTAATTGAATAATTACATAACTGTGGGAGACACTAGATTTCAATGGATAAGATATTCAGTTTTCAGAGCCAGGTAATGTTTCTTATATAGTGTGTGTGACTTGGCAGTGGTGGATTCCAGAGTGTGGCAGGTGCACAGACCAAGAGAATCAGAAATGAATATGTAAAGACGATGATCTATGGGTATGAATGAAAAGTATGTAAATACTTCAAATAATTCTATTTAATGAAGTTTGAAATAAAACTCAAACTTACTGAAAATGCAAATTACTTTGTAATTATTTGGAGACCTATGGGCTTATTGAGAAATTCAATTTTCTGTTTATATTTCAATCCCTCATTCCTACTGTCAATGGGAGGGAAAATTCAAAACCAGTCACACATTACAGGGCAAATCTGTTAAACAGAGTCTTTCCGCTGAAGGGCCTGGGAGCTCAGGACTCTCAGGCAGGTGCTGGGGAGTGCCCAGCAGACCTCAGAACTGTCCATGGGCCCTGCTGGACACTCATGTGGATAACTATTGGCCACTTTTCAGTGAGCTCTGACTGTTCCTAATGGGACCAGGATGGAGTCAAGTTTCCTGCTCAATGTCAAAGACAGTGATGGTCCCAGATACAATCCAGGTAATCTCTATGCCAATAAAATGTGAGGAGCACATCCTGGGTTGGGACTTGTTCTTCAGTGGGAAGAGTACCGTCCACAGAAAGCTTAGAAATGGGGCAGGGGATGCATTTCCTCAGGCAGGATTAGGGTTTGGTCTTTCAGCATCCCACTCTTGTATGGCTGAGGTGGCATCTGTGTTTTCCTTCTCATCTTAGATCAGGCTTTAAGCTGTGAAATACTGTGACTCATGAATATGCAAACAACCTGAGGTCCTCTGAGATAAATATAGATGTGTTGGTTTCCTGCAAGCATCATCCAACAACCACATCCCTCCTCTGAAGAAGCCCCAGTGGGCAGAACTCATCACCATGGACTGGACTTGGAGGATCTTCTTCTTGGTGGCAGCAGCTACAGGTAAGGGGCTTCCTAGTTCCAAAGGTGAGGAAGGGATCCTGATTTGGTCAAAGAAGATTTTATTCACTCCTGTCTCCTCTCCACAGGTGTCCAGTCCCAGGTGCAGCTGGTGCAGTCTGGGGCAGAGGTGAAGAAGCCTGGGGCCTCCGTGAAGGTCTCCTGCAAGGCTTCTGGATACACCTTCACCAACCACTACATGCACTGGGTGCGACAGGCCCCTGGAAAAGGGCTTGAGTGGATGGGATGGATCTACCCTGGTAATGGTAACACAAAGTACGTGCAGAATTTCCAGGGCAGAGTCACCATGACTGCGGACAAGTCCACGAGCACAGCCTACATGGAGCTGAGCAGCCTGAGATCTGAGGACACGGCCGTGTATTACTGTGCGAGAGACACAGTGTTAAAACCACATCCTGAGAGTGTCAGAAACCCCAGTAAGGGGAAAGCTGTGCTGAGCTGAGGAGATGACAGGGGTTATTAGGTTCAAGGCTGTTTACAAAATGAGTTCTTTATTTGAGAGAAAATAACAGTGGAAACAAGTGCACACTCTCATTTTAAGAGAAATATTCCAATCGAGAGTCATCATATAAGCTAAATTCACAGAGTGGGAAAGGCCACACTCAATACAGTTGATGCAGACATTCCAGGAAGGTGCTGCTTTGAACATGTTTTCAAATTAGATGAATCAATAATGGGCAGCAAGATTATTTGATCATGTGGTAAGACTAAGTATGATTCTTAAAAAGTGACTAAAATTTCTTTCAAATGTTTCTATCACTCCTTATCATAAATTTTATTTTAGAGAAGTTTTAGGATTATGATTAAATTGCATGGAAAGTTTGAGAATTCCCATGAATCCCTGCCCTACACAGGCAGAGCCTTCTCCACTATGACCATCCTACAGCAGAGTCACAAATAACTTACAATGGATGAATCTACAAGAACACTTGGGTCTTTTTCTGTTGATCTCCTAATATAAAAAGTCTAAATTACCTCAGAGCACTCAGCACCACAGGTTTTTACAGTGGCTTTCTAGAAATGATATTAGTTAGAGAAAAAGTGGGTGAGGCTAAAACAATTTTAACTTTTTCCTCCAAAATCCACAAAATATATATTAATTTAGAGCCTATCTTACTTCTGGTTTACAATGCCCCTTCCCAGAGAGTAGGATTTTTAAGCTTTTAGAGGCAGGTTCATGTTTCTAAAAGACCCGCAAGTTCTGGTGAATCCTATAATGGACATCCTTTACTGAGATTTGGAGACCCTGGCAATGAGAGACTCCATGTGTAATGCCCTAGAGGTGGATTAGATACACTGGATGCTCTTGGGTGATGGTTCTGAATAAGGCGGTTCATGCAGCAAATGCAAAAATGCATGGGACCCAGGCAGGAACAGAAGCTTCCCTTTACAAAGTGAGTGGGCACCTGGAAGGAGCCCTCACAGGGGTGGGCACTGGCCACCCTTGCTGACTGATCATTAGCCAGAGGCATAATCACACTTGGTCTTACAGGGAAAGAGCAGCACTGAGGTCATAGGTCATGAAAATGTTTGTCATCTTCCAGCTGAGCAAGTCCATCTGCTTGCCTGTGAGTGTCATCCCCATGGCAGGTGCTTTCTGGGAGACGACAAGATGCACACAAACATCCTCCCACTAATTACCCACTACCACACACTCAGAACCAACCTGTGCTCCAGAAAGGGATACTTGGGTGCAGAAAGAAACAGAGCTTAATAATTTTCTCACCTGGTGAACATACTGCCCCCAAACCACACTTTGCAGGAAGATTAGCTCAGAGATGGTTACCAAGTGACTGCAGGGTGATGGTGGATGAGGGAAGTGACAGCCTCAGGGCTGCACATGAGGAGGGCTCCCTTCCCATGCAGGCTTTTCCTCCAGGACCTGCACCAGGAGCTCAAGAAGGCTCAGGGAGAATTCTGAGAACATTCTACTGTGGTGCTGCCTAGAGAGGAAGAATAAACTATGAAATATACAACTGAGTAAAGTTTGCACATTTGTTCATGAAAACTGTCTTTCTGAAAGCTTGAAAAGGTCTTGAAATACCCCTGATTAGCTGAGGACAAACATTTAAACCCTCCTTCCACAGGAGTCCCAGCAGGCTGGGTGTTTCCTCCAATGGATGATCTTCCCCAGGCCCCTCCTCTTCCCAGCTCATCCCTGGCTCTCTGTGTCAAAAGTTCTCTTCCGTGGAATGTGGCTGATGAAGTGAGGTCTTCAATTTTCTCATCTTCTATGTGGCCATGCTATTTTCCTCGTCTGAGGTTCAAAAACTCACCTGCATGCAGCACATGACAGCCTAAATCTCTTGTGGACAAATCAGTAGCAAAGGCACCCACCAGGGGAGAGCATCCCGTGTTGCCAACAGCGACCACCAGGGATCAACGTCCTCTTCATAATCCTGGGTCAGAGCATCATTAGCAACTTCCCGGGAGAATCAGCTTAGAAAGCACTTGTTCCATTTTCCATGCAGATATAACCCATCTATTTTTTTTTAAGAAATAGAAAGAGCTGAATGCTGAATACACTGAAGGTCTGCTGGTGTTGCAAGTTTGTGATTTTATCACTTTCTAATTTCTGATCTGTGCAGATCACTCTACAGATTTTTCTCACTGGTGTGACCATCCTTCTGGATGTCAAATATAATTGATCTTTCTCATATAAAAGTCAACACAAGGTCCTCATGGCTTCAGTGCTCACTGACAACTCTAAACTTACGCAACGTGTTTCTTTCGTAGTTTCATTTTCTGGTATCTGTACTTGGCATCTTCACCATGCCCACTTTATGTTTCTTTTTATGAGTAATCGATAGTTAATTTTAAAATTTACAGTTGCTTACATTAATGAAATAAGCAGTCAATAGCTTAGAATTTTAAAAATGTATGCAAAAGTAAATGCAGTAATATTTAATGTAAGAAAGCCAGCAGATGAAAGCCAGGGAAATCTATTCTGCTGCATAGGAGGGTATGGAATCCTCATAGTACGATGATCTTCTGCAGTTTAATTGATCCTGCTACACAAGTGATAGAATCCTCTCCCTTTATATTAGAGCTTTCCATAACATGTACAATAGAGACTGAGCACAGACACTGAGACGTTGAGCACCACCTGCGGAGGTCTGTCCTGCAGACCCAGACAGCGATGGGTGAATGAAATACACTCTTACACCCAGGACAGTGATTTCAGTGGGCTATGGATGCTTGTCTGCTGCTTTCAGAAGGTAATTGCAGCTAACAGACCACTGTTCACTGGTCCTCCTCACATTTATTCAGTATATATTTAATAATTGAGGTTCTAAGTCAACATGCTTGTCAATAAATAACATGATTAAAAGAATGATTTTATGAATGATAAAAGGTCTTAGTTCTGGGGCCCAGAAGAAACACCATTAATAGGTAATTCCCATTTGACTGACCTGTGAGAGGGTCATCAAGCACAAATTTTACATGAGTAAGCAAATTTGAGTAGGGACAAAGGAATGTGGTGTAAACAGAATTAACTGGGGAAGTTTTTATTATTCCTAATTTTCACTCTATGGCCTAAAGTTCTAACATAAGAATGGGCTGCCTTCAGCCGGTTCCATAAGTTAATAAAAACCTTTCGGCCTTCCAAAAGATATCTTATATCATTTCCCTAGTATTTCTCTTAATATTTTGCACACCACCCCAAGTGAATCCCAATAGATTCCTCCAAGCAGACTGACATATCACCTCTCATCAAGTGCCTGAGCTGATAGTGGTAGATATCATATTTGTCTAACAAAGTAATTACATCCTGTAAGGATACCCACCAGTCACATGGATACAATTTGAAATTTTTAGTCAAGATTCAAACCTAATAGGTAGTAATTTGGACTTAGAAGAATTAAATCTTACCTTCATATGTATGTTTTTCTTAATTATAGAGAAGGTACTCATGCGAATTTCCAAGATTCTGAATATCTTATTCCCTAGAATGAGACACTGCGTAATGTGCTCTGACAGGAGGGAATGTAGCTATAGTTATGAGACAGGAGATTTGAACACGGGAACATGAGTATGAGAGGCAGCAGTTCTTTCTCCTTCACATTTGCCCAGACACAAAGACTCCAGTAGAACAATAAAAGGGTTAAGTCTCCATAGTCTAATATTAGATATTCACCAGGTGTTACATTCTACTGTTTATAGTAGGAAATTTAATCTCTAATGAAGGTTTATTTTGGGGATAAAACTATTCTCCAGGATACTTAAATGCCCCAAAACAGAAAGCACCACAGTGCCCAGTGGCCAGGAGCTACAATACCTGGGTCTGGAAACCAGTGGACAGAAATATCAGTTTCTCTTACCACATGTATGGTGAAAATTTCAAGGATGGTTCTTTCCTTCTCCTTAATCACAGGCTGCCATGGACTGGAGGTCCCGGTACATAAGGAGAAATGTGCCTGCAGTGGGTGCAGAATTAGTCTCATGAAATAATTTTGCTGCTGTGGTCCTCACACTGTTGGACCAGTTGACCAAGAAAGTGTTGTGAGACCTGCAGTGTTCATTGATTTCTATTATATTTGGGGCTCCATTCGCAGCTACCAAGGGAAAGAGAGAGAAGTCACTCTGCCCTTGGTAGAGTCCATGGGTTGGTTTTCTGTCCTCCAAAATGAGGTAAGAAAAATCTCATCAACTAAAATGTGGATGATGATCAAGTGATCAAGGCCAACAGCCACTCAGTGTTTCAGGGTGTTTACACCCAAAGTCACACAACATGTGAGAACCTGAACTCTGGAGTCCAGGGCATCTCTGAGGAGAACCCAGAAGGTGGGAGGGAGGAAACAGTGATTAATGTCTAGGGAAATTTCAGGGCTACCTGCTCTAGGGGGGAGGAAAGCCTGAGCCTATCCCACAGGGTGCTCCGGTAAAATTTTTGGCTGACTCATTATATTCTTCAACACCAATATTTTTGTTTAGTCTTCTTTTAATTTTTTTATTTCTATTAAAATTCTCACATTGTTCTTGCATGCTACCACTATTTTTTTCTTTCTTTCTTTCTTTCTTTCTTTTTTTTTGTACTTTAAATTCTGGGGTATATGTGCAGAATGTGCAGGGTTTTTAACAGGTATACATGTGACCTTGTGGTCTGCTGCATCCATCACCTTGTCAACTACAGTAGCTATTTCTCTTAATGCTATCCTGCCCTAATTCCCCCACCCCCTGCTATCCCTCCCCTACCCCCCATTCCCTGACAGGCCCTGGTGTGTGACATTTCCCTCCTTGTATCCATGTCTTCTCACTGTTCAACCCGACTTATGAGTGAGAACATGCAGTGTTTGGTTTTCTATTCTTGTGCCAGTTTTCTGAGAATGATGGTTTCCACCTTCATCCAAGTCCCTGCAAAGTATATTATCTCATCATTTTTATGGCTGCATAGTATTCCATGGTGTATATGTGCCACATTTTCTTTATCCAGTTTATCAC